ACGAACAATGCCACTGAAAACAGAAATTAATGGAAATAAATAAATTTGACACAATTACCTGTTGGTTGATGCTATGGCTAGTACTCATATTTCTTCACTCTTCGGTATAGTGTAGACATACTCTGACGTATTTTAAATTCAAACCGAGCCTAATAATACAGTTAATGAACAGAAGGAAGCCTTACGCGAATTCCAGCTTCGTTGCCTTCTTATGACCTGACGTTGCATTCATCAAATTCCGTTGTGACAGGTGCTGCAGTACCATCATGAGGTCATTTTAACTAAATAAAGGATAGTGAAGGAATTGTAGAATTTTACAAAAAGAATCACTGCATTCCATAAGAACCTGCTTGTGTATTTCTTTACATAAAGATTTCATGTGCTCATCATATTGAGACACCAACAATGCACTGAATGATTGAAGAAAGTCAAACAGCAACATTCCAAAGATATAGGAAACACAATTAACCATTAAAAAGACAACCACAACTCACCACCCCGGTGCATTGTATTGTGTACAGGGATACCGCTCGCAATCACCAATTTGGGCATACTTAAACAGCCGTTCAACAGTTTCAAAGTCACTGAAAAACAACGGGCATTACCCAGAGAGTCTGCAGTTAGCCTGAAAGTTTGGATGTTTATTGAGTGTACCCAAAAAACTCAAATTGTATGGCATGCGCCCGGAGTTCCCAAAGCGTATGTAGTGCGCTAGTAGTGAGAAGGCATATTCCGTAATATTGTTACATGAATATTTGACGTTTATGTGCCACATGTGTTTGTTATAGAAATCAAATAAATGTTAACGGCCAGCTAGAAAGTTTTGTGAAATTTAGGGGGAATGCTCAAAAATTAAGTCCCCCGGAAGTAGCTTCGGGCGAAAACCTGAAAGTTCCAAAGTACGGTCAAAGTAAATGATGTCCGGTACCACTTGGGATTGACGTGGCCTATAAACTTATTGATTTCCTTCAACTCATATTATGCAGACCAAAGGACGCAACAGTCAAAGAAGACAAAAGAAATATCACTTACAAAGTTGACAACAATAGCTGTGATCGACAAAGTAGTCTCCGCCATCGTCCACATGAACACCAGTCGGCTACTGAACGTCGAGGCATTTCATCACTCATTTCAATGCACGTGAATAATTGTGGATATGAATTCAATTTAGTCATTGTAGAAATATTGGACAGAGAAAACACAAAGAATATCAGAGAATTCCTAGAAGCTTGACATTCAGGTCAGTCAGCAACCAGTAGATGTATGGACATAAACCCAATCTATCAACCAATAAGAAAAACGATAAACAGCACAAGGGTCATAGGTCATGCAGAGAAACGGCCAACAACGAAATCTATCAATCAGTGACACAACAACCAAAGGAGACAGCCAATCACAAACCAGTCCGTCAGATCAAGCTACTGAATCACTCACGGAGAGATATTGACAGCCCACTACATATTGAAGTTGGTGCTGATGATGCTGCCCAGAAAGACTATGAAAGTTTCACAATTAAACAACCCGGTTCAGAGAATACGGCACAACCAAGATCGTCTAACTGGACCCCAAATATTCTCTACCATTTTAAGTTTTAGTCGTGTTGCAATCCCAATAGGCCTAAAAGGCATTCCATAAACTGGTGCTGTGCAAGGCTTTCTACAGATGGTATAGGGTGTAATATGAAGTTGGTGAGCTACAGAAGGTACATGAAAAGTTGGTTTCACCACAAACGCAGATTGCACTCACTCATTATATTTACTCACCTCCAGAGAGAAAATTGAACGGTAACCAGTGAAAGTGGAATTCCGGGGTATTTTAATTCACTTCTACAGGGAAGTGTAAAGATCAAGTCGTAGAGTTGGATAAGAAGTCGCGACACTTCCTGTATTTGAGAACAATTTAAGGCCTAGATTTTGAGAATGCTCACCTGTGTTTATAATTGCGTTGGACTCGAACCAACATACTACATAGTGCTACAGGATTGTGCATACTGACCAGTGTATCTAGTCTTTTAAGTTATGTGATGCTTAGGACAGGGGACTGATAGTAGCAGATAGGAAGAACCTACCGCAATCGTCATCCACAGGTGAAGCAATAGAACATATAAGCGAACTTGACGAATTCGTGTAGTGAACGATGTTAAAAATATATAATTAAAAGTCCTAAATGTGGTTGGCCAATCAAAAATGGAATCTTCTTTATGCAGTGAAGCATGAATTCGCCCATTCGATTTTCAAGATGAAGTAGAAAGGTGAAAAGTTTTATTCGGAGTAAGTTGATTGAAAGTTTCTAACGAGGGTCTGCTTCCTCAGTCATGAACAGATGAAGCTGAACCTTAAATACCCAGAACTAGTTGGGATAAGCCGCCTATAATACAAATAAAGGGTGGTGATTTTCCTAATAAACATTCATATGATAAATTTCGATTGTTTCAACTCATCATAACTAACAAATCCATGTGACCACTTCATGTGTACGATGTTCACTTTGAGATAAAATCGTCGACAAATGTTTATAAACCGATACATATCTGGTGTGGCAGAAAAGCCAGACAATTCTACATTAGAGTCCCTGACATGTAAGGTTACTGGCCCATTTCTACAAGGTTTTGTCACTCTCGTGTGCATTTAAATACAATAAAATTTGATGCCCCTGGATTGGAAATCTGGCTAAATGAAGGAAAACTTGTGCAAAACATCCTTATCATTGCACAGCAGTAAACATCTACCAGTGTTCGATTTCTGCTATTAGTTTACGGTGCCTAGCGAAGGGGTTGGCGTTTGTCATCAAACAGCACGAACCTGTGAAGGATGAGTGTTGTTCGTAATCGTTAGAGCAAGTTCACCCGTACGATGCTGCTATTGGCAAGGGCAGAGACTTTAATAAACAAATACCTTATGATAACCAAAGACGATGTAGAATTTGTGTTCAGCACCTGATCATATCGCTTTATCAACAAGAACTGCCATAAATATAAACGAGTACAGTTAGGCAAATTAATTTGAGGAGCACGTAATTTCCACGTATGCAGACTCGGTTTGTTGATGCATCTTCGCATGATGTTCATCTTAATCATCATACCAGGTATCACATTTGCTTCACTCCCGTTTCTCCTTCTCTTCTTATGCGCTACTACTGCTTTTCATTGCTTTCTTACCTATTCCTCTATCTTTCATCTTGGTGCCTGCTACCTTGGTGTGACATGTATCATTTTACCCGTTTTGGTGATGCTAACTGACTTCAAAGAAGTAAATTTGTTTATTCACAAAAAGCAGTTAACACGATAATTGTAAATTGCTGCAAGTCAGTTGGCTTTTCACCACTGCGTCAGATGGCAAGTTTTTAAAAGATAGCGTAATCGAAAAGTGAAACCGACAGAGGCAAATTTAAAACCATTTATTTACAACACAAACTTGGTAGAGTATTACCACCAAGAGATGTCCCACACAAAGTTATGAAGCAACGTTGTGAAGATACAAAAAATGCAAGAGGGGACGGATTCAAAGATGTGAACAGGTTATTAGGGAAGCGGGCTCAAAAATATATACAAACACTCACCACTCTTATTTCACTTCTTAATAACCGAAGCAAAGTCCCCACTGGGTTTGATTCTCAACAATATCGGATATTGTCTCAAGCCGACAAAAGACAGATAAAAGCAGTGCAGAACCTCGTATAGAAGTACATTCGTTCATGTTACCACACTTCGGAACAGCATGCAAATGAATAAGTGAATGAAAAAAGTCATCTCAAAGTAGACAAAAGTGTATGGGAGGGGAAAGAACATTAGTGGAAATATCCAACTTTAGAGGGTTTCAAAGGAAGGATACATCTGCATCTACATCTAGGTAATAAAAAAGGAGTGATGTGCATATTTTGCATATGGCTACGAATGTATGTATGCTATCTTCTAAGTGCTTTTTGCAGGTCACATAATGGAAATCAGTGTGAAGCAGCCAAATGGTCACCTCGATTTTCATTGCTTGGATGCAGTTAGTAACATTTTTAGTGGTGCTTTTCCTTGCGATTGGGAGTGGAATGGTAGCGGAAGTTTGGTGAAGTTGTGTGTACAGATTCGACGCATGGTAGTAACAACGTGGGGTAAGCACAGTTGACCACGGTTATAAAAATTCGGGAGTTCCTTGTATTCGTCTGTCGTAAGCAACAACATCGTCAACAATCAACCAGTGCTATTTGCGTGAACGCAGCAGAATCCAACGGACTGTATCATGTGTATGTTAGATGTATTCAAAGCGGTGATGGGTGATACCTTCGAATTCGAGACATTTACCATGGGTTGTCCACAAAGTGAAATATTCGCAGTTAGACGAATGGATAGTAGGCAGCCTTCACGACTATGAGTATTTCATGTGTATAGAGCATTTGGTAGAGAAGTAAAATAACTTATGGTATGTACAATTGTTATGCAAACTCTCAGTCCCTTTGCAAAGCAGTGCCAGTACCTCCCAGAGAAGATGCAGAGTGAAGATAAGCAAGGCTGGCTTCCAGGTTTTGCATAGCCCTTCCAGGTGCTTGGTGGATTTCAGAGGAGTAGGTCTAGCCGTTCGCCCAATCTACTTCTGGTTAGTCTAACCGTGAGTTGGTTGTGGATAAGTTTCTATGGATTGCATGGTTTTTCAAAGTAATGCGACGCGGGTGCGTTCCTCAAATGTTATACTACCAGACAGGCATTCGGAATTTTTGTAGAACGAAGACGCAAAGAAGTAGATGTCCCGAGTTTAGCGTCACAAACTTCTCCAGAATCAATTCCCCAGGGTTCGATGGGGTTCAACATTGATGCTGAACTTGATAGTTTAACTGGACTTCCTAAGCTAAAAACACCCGGTCAAGCATCCTCGCCATTTGGCACGCTGTCGTGTTACGTTGCACTGCTCGTAGTCGACCCTCTAACCAGTTAGTTGGAATGCATCAGTATCTCGGCACAACCTCGCAAATATGTTATTCCATCCGACTACGCTACTGTGTTCTTTCTTGGTTTCGTATTTGTGGGTATATAACAAGTTCGAATAATTAGTGATTGGCCTCTGTGTCTGTCAAGTTTGTACCAGGACAATTCCTAAGTTGGTGAGCCCGATAACATATCCTGACCAAGAACAAATCTTAAATTGGTTAGCCTGTTCCATTTTATACTTGTATACTTTCTTCATTTTGATAACCTTTATATATCCACATACAACTCTTTCTCATGTCCGACCATACTTTAAAGCTTATCCGTATTAAGTCGACGATGAACACTATTCAACTGGTGCCAGACTGACCAGACAATGCAGAAACATGGTTTCTGTATGCCGAGGCAGACTTTCGAGAACAAGGAGTCGCAGATTCACACTCTCGACTTCTTGCTGTTATACGTTCACTACCACGGGAACTAAACAATCACGTTACAAAGCACATGTTCAGTCCTGATGTAAGTGATCCCTATGCACTTCTCGAAGCAGCACTGCTGAAGAAAAGTGATCTCACAGATTGCCAGCGTCTAGACGAATGGCCTCGTACAATCGATCTAGGCAGCCACTCAGCTACTGAAGTCCTCGCACTCATGCGAGAAGTTATGGGCACAGGAACGTTCGATAATGACCTTTTCCGGGAACTGTTTCTCTCGAAACTACCACAACCGGTGCAAACCGTGTTAGTGACACTTAAGTCAGTTCCACTCGATGACCTGGCAGCCTCAGTGGATAAAATACTGGAGATCTCTAGCAGACCCGTCTTCAACGCATATTCTGTCTCGGATAAACGCGAGAGCCAGGATTTAGAAGTGGCCAGGCTATGCAACTCGGTTAAACAACTGCTACGAACTCGAAGCCCCGGGTTACATAGCACATCGCAGAAACACGTCTCACTCCATCGCAGCAACTCGCGTGGTTACCCAAAAAAAAACCAAACCTAACAGGGTGGGAGACACTTAATGGTGCTAGTTTCACAACACCTACGGGGACGAAGTCGGAAAATGTCGGAAGCCATGCAATTTCAACAGGAACACAAACTCGGGAAACTGCCACACCGGCACGCGTTCACGGCAACCGTAGCTGGCGGAAACAGCAGTTTGCTTTACGTCACAGATATAAAAACGAAAGTCCCCTACCTCGTCGACACCAGCGCGGAAGTTAGAGTTCTTCTTGCACAGACAATGGAGCGTCATCAAGACCCGTCCTTCAACCTTCAAGCAGCTAGTCGCACGGCGATCGCAACATTTGGGAGACAGTATGCCTACCTCAACTTAGGTTGAAGTAGACCTGTTCACTGGATTCTCCTCCTAGCTGACGTTTCTATGCCCATCATTGGCTTAGATTTTCTGGACCATTACGATATATTCATAGATGCTCGCCGTCGACACCTGGTAGATAACAACGCAAAGTTATTTCGATAGCGTAATTAGAAGACGAAGTTTATCTGAGCAATGTGATGTATTTGCGCAATACATTTCGAACAATCTGATCACACATTTACTTGTCAAGTCAATATATATTAAACCGAGGACTGGGAGGGGGGATAAATACAACAATTAACACAATAGGGGATTAAAATTAAGAAAGATGAGGACAAACAGGAAGTGACATAGTTGGTCCTAATCTTGGTAAGAAAACAAAGTTTACCAAGGTAGGTGTAGTGTAATAACAAACTGTTTTTGTACACATAAAGGTGGTTTAAATTTGTGTATGGCTATGGCTTCCGCAAATCTCAGAATACGTCCCTGACTGTTTCTATATAAGACTTTGAAAGCTGTTTGAACATTAACTTTGTGACCTGTTTCTATGATATGTTTAGCTATAGATGAAGAGGGTCGTCTCCCACCAGCGTTTATCACTGTTTCACACTCCATTTGTTTTTGAAGCCATTTAGGCACATGTTCTCCCACCCTCAACTGCATAACTCGATTACTCCTCCCTATGTATGTGTGACCACACACACATGTAAATTGGTAAACACAATGGGATGTGACGTAATCACTGATGCAGTGTTTAGGTTTTTGGTGAAGCATGTGTTTTGTTTTCTCCACAATGGTAAGATTCACTGCGTAATACGTTTTCTTAATGGCTGATGTCAGCCTACGTCTCAAAATGATACTATTTAGCTCCCCTCTGTATGGTAGAGTGATATGGACATTTTTCTTAAGGACCGTGTATAGAGTTGGCTTTGGTGCTACTTGACCTCTACAACGGTTTATAAACTTCGTCGGATATCCATTTTCCATAAGTGCTTTGCTCAGTAATTTGATGTCTTCATCCATCGCATCTAGTGTACTGATACGATAGATCCTGTTAAACAGGCATTTTACTAAACCTCGCTTGTATTGGATTGGACAAAAACTGTGGAAATTCAGGTATTGTCCTGTCCATGTAGGCTTTCTGTAAACTGACCGTCTTATTGAACCATCTTCTCGTCGACTGAGAAGTATATCTAGGAATGGCAGTTGATTACTATTCTCTTTCTCACATGTCAGGCTGATGTGTGTTTGTACGGCGTTAAGTCTATTTAGTAGACAAACCATATCCTCATGCGTCTCACAAATCACTATGATGTCATCAACATATCTCTTGTAAAGAGGAACTTTAGCGATGAGATCACCAGCCAGATTTTCAATATATGACATATAAATATCAGCCAGTAGTGGTCCTAAAGGACTACCCATAGCTACACCGTCAACTTGTCGAAAGCGTTCACCTTCAAATGTGAAGTGGACTTTGTCGGTACACAGCAATAATAACTCCTTCAGAAAGGTTGGAGTAATAGGAAATGGGAGGTTTTTTGAGGATATATAGTCACAGAGAATGCTAATAGTCTTGGACAATGGCACGTTAGTGAATAAGGAATTTACATCGAAAGAGTACATAATCTTGTTTTTTATATTCATGTTACTAAGACAGTCAACAATTTGAAAAGAATCTTTCAATGAAAACTTACAGAATTCGTTTCGAACTGGATTTAACATTTTTACCAACCATTTCGCCAGTTTATGTGTGGGAGAACGACACATAGACAATATAGGGCGTAAGGGATTATTAGCTTTATGAATCTTAGGTAATCCATATAAATTTGGAAATTCGGATCCCATAGGTTTCAATGAATTAAATTCCTCTTTGCTAATGGCATTCATATTCAAAAGTTTTACTAAGTGAGTGGTTACTTTTGCTTCCAATTTTCTAATATCTTCTGATGGGACATCGGCTATGAATTTGCTTTCGTCGCTGAGGATGGATAGCATTTTATTTTTATAGTCAGATTTATTCATCACAACGATACCTGATCCCTTATCGGGTTTAAGAATGATTATATCCGATCTGTTCCGTAATTCTCTCAAAGATTTGAAGTGCTGTGAACTCAAAATGCTTCTTTGTCTTGTTTCTGAACTATGGAATTGGTGAGCAATATCAACTAATTTAGCCTTTAACCAACTTTGGTTATCTGAAGATGTAGGGACAAGAGGGCTCAATTGGTCATAGAGATTTTCAAACTGAGCATCAATATCCAATAGAGAGATTTGCGTATATGGAACTGAAAAGTTGAATCCAAGGGAAAGCGCCTCTTTCTCATGAATTGAAAGTACAACAGAGGACAAATTAGTCACATATTTATCTGGGACGCATGGAAATGAGTTTGCATGAATGTCATTGGAAAGAGATCTAGACAATTTTTGCCTTGTTCTATCCTTCGTTTTACTGATTACGGAGCTACAAAAATTGATGAATTTAATGTGGTATATAAGACAAATATCCGACAATACACACGAAGCATGAGTATGCATCTCAGTTAAGCTGCGTAACTTCTCACTGCAATTATCTATGTGTGATTTCATAAGCCGACATCAGCTTTTAAGAAAACGTATTACGCAGAGAATCTTACCATTGTGGAGAAAACAAAACACATGCTTCACCAAAAACCTAAACACTGCATCAGTGATTACGTCACATCCCATTGTGTTTATCAATTTACATGTGTGTGTGGTCACACATACATAGGGAGGAGTAATCGAGTTATGCAGTTGAGGGTGGGAGAACATGTGCCTAAATGGCTTCAAAAACAAATGGAGTGTGAAACAGTGATAAACGCTGGTGGGAGACGACCCTCTTCATCTATAGCTAAACATATCATAGAAACAGGTCACAAAGTCAATGTCCAAACAGCTTTCAAAGTCTTATATAGAAACAGTCAGGGACGTATTCTGAGATTTGCGGAAGTCATAGCCATACACAAATTTAAACCACCTTTATGTGTACGAAAACAGTTTGTTATTACATTACACCTACCTTGGTAAACTTTGTTTTCTTACCAAGATTAGGACCAACTATGTCACTTCCTGTTTGTCCTCATCTTTCTTAATTTTAATCCCCTATTGTGTTAATTGTTGTATTTATCCCCACTCCCAGTCCTCGGTTTAGTATATATATGTTGACTTGACAAGTAAATGTGTGATCAGATTGTTCGAAATGTATTGCGCAAATACATCGCATTGCTCAGATAAACTTCGTCTTCTAATTACGCTATCGAAATTCATAAAAGGGACTAACTGTTCCAAATTTTTGAAGCAAAGTTATTTATTGGTGGCGCCACCTACGTAGGTCCGAGTTTAGCCATCGTTAGAACTAAACAATCAGGCGACGTGTCCTATCAGGCAGTGTTAGGGAATTATCCAGAGTTACAACAACCGACGCATACTCTTCCGTGCATAACCAGTAGTGTCAGGCAGCACATCACAACCACAGGTCTACATGTAGCCGTCTAGCCCCTGATAAGCTCAAAACGGCAAAAAGTGAATTCGACCACATGCTCGAACTGGGCATTATCAACCTTCAAGTAGTCCTAGGGGATCACCATTGCATATGGTTCCCAAAAAGGATAGCAACGACTGGCGTGCAATCGGTGATTACCGAAGGCTTAACGCCAAAACAACACCGGACTGCTATCCGACACCTCACGTTTACGACTTGACTGGGACGTTAAACGGAATGGACATATTCTCGAAAATCGATCTGGTCAAAGGGTACAACCAGTTACCTATGGCAGCAGAAGATATCGCGAAAACAGCCATTATTACTCCTTTTGGCCTGTTCGAATCCCTCCGCATGCCATTTGGTCTTCGGAATGCAGCACAAACATTCCAACGCTTTGTGGATGACGTCTTCCGTGGTTTAGATTTTGTCCATGTCGACATCGAGGACCTCGTATTCAGTAGACTAAAAAAACTTGGCACCACAGTCAACTTGTGGAAGTGTGAAATAGGAACTGAATCACTCAGGTTCCTTGGTATACGCCCACTCAGAGATAAAGTGGCAGGTATCACGAACTATCCAGAGCCGACCACTGTGAAGCGGCTCCGCACTTTCAATGGCCTGGTAAGTTATTACCGAAGGTTTATTCCCAACTGTGCCTCTGTCATGAGACCACTAACAGATCTACTTCGAGGGACTACGAAGTGCGTGACTCTGAACAACGTGGCTAGACTTGCTTTCTCTAAAGTCAAAGAAGCCATTTCAAACGCAACCATGCTTACGCATCATGACCCCAATGCTCCTTTGAGCATTGCTGTTGATGCACCTGACTCAGCAATCGGAGCAGTTTTGCAACAATTGACTGATAACCAGTGGCAACCTTTAACCTTTTTCTCCAGACGGTTGCAAGACGCGGAAACAAGATACAGTACATTTGGTAGGGAACTCCTAGCTATGTACTGTTCTGTACGCCATTTTTGACATTCGGTGGAAGGTCGTGATTTCATTATTTTCACAGACCACAAACCGTCAACCTTTTACCTCAGCTCAGAGTCTGACAAATACTCCCCCGTGAGTCACGACAACTGGATTGCGTTCCCCAGTTCACATCAGATGTCCGCCACATTTCTGGAGCAGATAACTCCGTAGCCGACACATTATCTCGAATAGCTTCGGTAAACCGTATCGAGGGCGTTGATCTTGTTGAACTAGCTCGGGTTCGACGCAACGTCTTCAATACGCTGCACAAAATGTCCCATCCAGGTGTACGAGCCACCATCAGGCTTATCGCACGTTTCTGCTGGCCGGGAATGAACAGACGTTAAGGTGTGGGCTCAGTCGTGCTTAGCTTGTCAGAAGTGCAAAGTCACACGAAAAGCCCTTAAGGTTCTCTTCTAGCCCCAGACATGTGTTTCGACCACGTCCATATAGATATTGTAGGACCTCTACTAGAATCTAATGGACGTACCTACCTTTTCACTTGCGTGGATCGTTTCATACGATGGCCAGAAGCAGTGCCTATTAAGGATATTACTGTTGAAGCAGTAGCTCGTGTTTTCATAGAAAGATGGATCGCGAACTTTGGATGTCCATCTTCCCTTTCAGCTGCAAAAACCTCAGTGGACCAAGGCTCTGCCTATAGTCCTACTAGGTATTCGTAACGCGTTGAAAGCTGATGCTGGATGCACCCACTTAGATACTTTGTGTTAATTCGCGCAGTAGACAATGAACCACACCTGCTGTGAGAACTCATGAAGCTGCTTGACTACCAAAACCTCGACATATGGGTGAGGCATGGTGTGACCCATCGATTTGAAATCAAGAGTTTACGCAAGCAATATACAGCTTCACATGAATACTGACAGGACCCATATGTGTAGTATGTCGAAGATTGGAAACAAACTGTTGGTTTTTTTCCGTTCTAGTTAGAACAACAGCCCGTGAGTATTGGTTGGGGCTCCTTCTATGAGACGAGCCCTTCACATATCACTCAACAAAATTCCAGCTTCAAGTTGTCTAACACTTTAGGCAAAGTCATTACGTAGAAACAATATTTAAAACCAAGGAAAGAAAAGCACCTCCAGGGGTTCGCAAGGTAAAGACAGTCAGATGAAGCCTCAGCTTGTTAGCTGACTATATTTTGCGTGCACTTAATTTGTGTCCTAGTCGAAACTAGGATTACTATGCATAGTATATATAGGATTACTACAGTGATCCTCAATATCTTAAGCACAGTGTGGAAATGACACAAAACGTTTTGAACCATGAAACACTAGTACTTTCAGTATTCTTCGAAGAATAAACTATACTCTTAAATATACGTACCTGATTATGATGAACTGCATTGAAGACTGACACAGATTTACGTAATTTTTGTGCGAATTCCATGGTATGATCCGAGTGGGAAGTCGTCCAGAAGACCACGCGTTTACTGTTAAGAGAAACTCTCAGGCCTATTTCGCTCTGTAAATATCTAATTTTCGGGATATCTTAAAGAGTCACCACATAGAAACGGAGCGACCTCAAGGGCGATTAACTTCAAATTTCTGCCTTTCTTTGTGACCTTATGTAAGCCATACAACGTCCAAGAAGATACGGACTTTTAAAAGTCCGGACCCCGTCATACACGAGCACTGCTACGAGGACGCCTGTGTTCAAATACTTGTACACTCTAGATATACGGCTCCGATATTTGCAGGTTAGTTGGAGCGAAGGCACCGTTAAATATCATCTAAAAAGAAAGTTAATGACTCTGCTAGTGATGGCGACACACCATCTGTTGATACACGTAGCTATCCAAGACCTTGACAATGTTACACAGCAGAGCGAAAAGACCACCTACAAGGTATGTTGATGGTAACTTAGGAAAAGCTACATAAAGCAAGGTGAAGAAAGTATCTTCAGGTTCTCACATCCTTAGAATTAGTACTATTACTTATTCATTAATTTTTCCCTTGGGTTTTCGGTGGGACATAAGGCCTCAGTAGCACGCCTTCATTGCAATCTGTTCCCTGCAGTCTTTTGAACCACACTCCGCATTTCAACTGTTTGAATGGCTAGAGTACCATTGAAACACCAGGCAGCACATACTCCTGTAGAACTCCACCGACATTTACACAACCAAGATGTTTAGAAAGATGGAGATACTGTGGCACGTGAGTTAGGTTTCTACTCAATTGAGTTGCTACCTTGACTAGGCGGTCGAGTTGCTTATCACTATAATCCAATGAGCTATTTAGGTTGGAACTATTGTTCTTTGAGGTCTTAACATCTAAAAAATATGTTGAGTGGTGGTAAGACTAAAAGTAGTCAACGCTATAGCACAGATACCTTGCGGGCATGATGGCAGTCCAAGGGGGTGGTTGTACAGCTGGATGAAAGTTAGACGTTTATCTTGATATACCAAACTGTTACCCATACCACAAATTTCGCTTTTCAAACTCTAATTCTAAAATCGTCACGAATATCTGTGACTTTAACTGCGAGGCCATTAAAAAAATTCTTTCCCTATCCTGAAAAGTCTAAATTAGATGAATTGTTAATCACTTTTACGTCTCTTTTAGCACTCCACTTTCTTCAGACCATTATCAACAGTCAGTATATTTTCTATCTACACATCGCCGTTAACAAGTTAACACAATTTTTAGTCTCTTCATGTATGATTCAAATTCACAGAAAAGCATCCATGATCTTTTGAAACCGTGCTCCAAACTGCACTTTGAAGCTTTCAATTTCCGCAGCCTCTATCGAATCGGACAACAAGCCTTACTATGTAAAACTTCGGCATCTCAGACTCTGAACGTGTGGTGCGTTTGTAAGACATGACCCAAATGTGATTATTGACAAACTTACTTGACCAGTATGAAGAATTGGCAAACTTCACTCTTCAAGTTTCTTTAGATTCGATGACTAGTTCTCGCTGTCTTGAAGGTGTTGGTGTTAGACGACACTATGCGACTAGATCACAGTTGAAAGTCACCTGAAAACCAGTTGAATGGTACAGTAAGAACTAGAAAAATGGTGAAACCAACCGTTGTCTCATTGTGATCTCTGCTTACGCACCCACTGACTAGAATTCAGATGAAGTGAAAGACGAATTCTACCGGAAACTTTCTAGCCACCGACAGAAAGTCAAATACAGATGTCCTGGCCGTAGCACGTGATCTCAACGCATGGATGCGTGGGTTCTCATGATCATTATCAAGATCAACATAGGGTCAAGCATTACCGTGTAACGGTCCAAGTCGCCATATCATCAGGTAACAAGACAATAAAATGGAAGATGAAGAAATAAAGAAAAACCGGTCAGCAGGAGTAGAAAGTAGTAAAAGAGAGCAATGGAAAGATGATCTGAAGCCATTTCATGTCTTCTATCACTAATGGCCATGTTTCACAGTTATATAGTAAACAGAAGGAATGTAGCACAGTACACTCGACACAATAGATAATCGAATACTGCGGCGGTGCCACAGATGGCGTAAGTTACCAAAGGTCAACCGAGTCTTTTGTATCCATGCAGAGATTTCGCCGGCTATTGAGCCACCGGGCTGATCTAACTTCCCAAGTAAGTGAAGTGTTCAACGCACCTAACCACTTTACTCTTCACTGTTAGTTGGGCACCGCTGAAGATCAGTCTTGCAGCAACAATTTGCATTTGGGTGGCAGGAACGCATTCCAAACATCTTCAAATTGCCACTCAAAGTATCCAGAAGACACTGAATCTTGTCATCGTCTTTGCGTAACACGATCATGTCATTTGCGTATTCTAGGTCTACTAAAAATCCTCCTGCGATTAGGTCAATCTCTGTGTAGTCAGATGTCAAGAGGGAGACCTCCATAAGAACATCCACGATAAAATTGAATAAGAATGGGGAGTAGACATCCTTGACGGACACCACTCAACGTACACAGCTTCCCGACATCTCACCATTAGCTCTAAAACTCCCACAGATGTTCGAGTGAAGAGCTATCAATTAGGCGACTAACTTACTTGGTACTCGTTTTAGTGAGAGATATTGCATAAAACTTCTTGATCGACGAATTCGAATGCCACCTTCGAGCGGAGAATACAGGTATTGTCGGGCGTGTGTAAGCGTGTCTGTATTCCAGAACTTGACGGAGTGTGAATATTTGGTCGATACACCCACGGCCAGGTTTGAAGCCTGTCCGGTTTTCTCGGGCTTGTTGTTCTCCAACTCCACTCAGGCGTCTAATGATTATATAACCTGGAATCTTAGACATTATGTTCATCAGGCTGATTCCTCTGAGGTGATCGCAAGAAGATTTATCATCTTTCTTGAAGACTGGGATAATCAGTGATTGAGACCAGTCACAAGGGACCATACACTAGTTAACACGTCGGTTAACTTGACTAAAAGCACTCTAATACGTCACCATATACCTCAGGAACTAGTCCATTGTTGACCTTATCCCTTCAGTTTCCTTAATAGTGTTATCCCGGTGGGAACATCACTCACTGGGAGGCAAGTACATCCGCTGACGAGTCCTAAATAGGACAAAATGCGCATCCTGGATTCACCGCTAGCTCCTATCCATCTTTACTATAGTTTCCTTAATAAGTCTAAATAATTGTCTACTGTTACTTATCGCCACTGCCTTTTCTACCTCTAGCCTTCGATGCCCACTACTGTTCTTGGTCGTTGAGTAGACATTTTGTCAGTCTACATTTGAGTTGCGTCCACTCTTCATTGTACTTGGGGCCTGCAGAAATGCGTTCGCGAGATATCAATTCAGAAGCTTCTGATATCCACTGGCTTTTTCTAACCACCCTCAGTCATGGTTTTCAACGATGTTTTCACAGCAGACTTAGGATAGGACCAAGCTTCTTCTAGATAAGTGTTCTGTTCCGATAACGGCTTGGCCAGTTTTTCACTGAAAGTGACTTAGTATTCTCGTTGCTGAACTGCACTCGTAATGATCTTGATGCTGAGGTTTTTTTACGTCCATTGAAGCGCAGACATGTACGCGCTTTAGCCAACGGGTGGTCTCTATCCAAACAGTGCTCTGGAAACAGCAGCAGTCTTTCACCGACCCTCTCCATCGATGACTGATAGCATTGTGGTCTGTCTATGTCTACTGATGAGTAGCGCTCATAGGACGCATCAGATAATGTCTTTAATCATGTCTGAAGTTTGTGCTAGCTAGAAAGAAACGGTTATCTGAGCAAAGTTGTAGTAGAAGATTACCGTTACTGTTCGTTCAGCCGAGACTCCGACAGTGCCGCTGAAGTGCGTTTCTGCATCACTTAGCCTACCCACTTTTGTATTAAAATCACTTACAGCAACAACCACGTCTGAACGTTTGGTTTTCGAAAAAGGCTAGACAGTTTTTGCTAGAACTCATCCTTTACTTCATCGAACCACAGTCAGTGGGTGCGTAAGCATAGATTACAAAATGAAAACGGGGAGTTTCACTATTCCTTTACTTCTCACTGTGCCGTTCAGCCGAGCAGCTACGACAAACAGAAAGACACTTGGATGAGACTTTAGGAAATCCAACTGAATCGATTAATAATGGTTGTTGCCTACTACAAATGCGCTCAGAAAACCACCTTTTCATGCCCAGCACAATCTCTGGTATCCTCCAACTTCAACTTAATGGTAAACACAGATACACTATATTGAGGTCCGTTACCACTCCAGACAATCAGTGAAAGACTGGCACTGCTTCTAAGTGCTTCCAGGTGTTTAGCCAGTGACCGCGCACTGATTACAGCATGCCGATGTCTACACCTAATAGGTGCGGAAATATCTAATTGCAAGTACAGTGCCATGACGCGACTGTCACTATTGCTTTCAAAGAGGAATTGAACAGACAATAATCGGGAGAGGACAATCACTAATCTCGAAGAAGACTGGCGCTGTTGTCTCCAGTCTGCTGCAAAAACAGCGTTGAAGATCATAAGTGACCCACAGGAAAAGGTTAAAGTGATCTGGTAGATATCAGCATATTCCATTGAAATAATGAATATATGCCAACTCATTCATGCAAGCTAGGGATACAATGGGAAGCTGCAGAAACCTAAATGCAAACTGGAAATGATAACAAACAGCCGAAATCAACAAAGTCGAAAGAAATAGAAATGTAGGGTGATGGGTAGCAGTAGAGTTATTTAGACCAATCAAGAAAACTGTAGCAAAATGTCAACGGTTAGTGAGGCGATCGAGGAAAAGGATGGACAGGCGATTTACTCGCAGGGAAGACAGCTGCAACTATGTGAGGAATACTATGTGAGACAGCTGGACTGGCTTCCAGCTACTCCTCGATTGTCCGCTACCCAATCAGATTGTCAACGATAAACTGAGATATACCACTCAACTCTTGCAGAAGCATACAAGGTCGTAGATGACCAGAAGTAGAGAAGAGTAGCAAGTCCCGATACAGTTACACAGAAGGTATTTTTAAGGACAGTGGTCGAGGATTACTAGTTATCTGTATCGACAGGATATTCACCTTCTACTAGATGTCAGAGTAGAAGCACACTTACCCATATCCAACACTAATTGTTTCTTGGTCTGAAGACAGCATTTAGCTGCGTCAACTGAGAGGTCTTATCGCAATGTCACTTACTGAAACGAAAGGCTAGTTTAAGTGAATCGCACTGGTAAATGCCTTATATCCGTATTAGAATCTATGATGAGGTATCAGGTGAGTTGTATATCTCGAGTAGTGCTAATTAGGCTTGCCTACTCTCTTCGTCACCACTTAATTTTGTCGTTAACATGCCTATGGAGGTTTTTCACTGATCCATTGACTACAAGAATTCACCTAGTCACAAGAGACTTCTAAGAAGACCTAGAGTACGCAGATGATATGGTCCAGTTAGATGAAGCCGGTGACAAGATGCAGTCTTCACGAAATAGCAATCCAGTAATGTAGCGACCTGTGAATGATTGAGATACTTTTCTCACCTAAATGCAAATTGTTGCGCTAGGACTGGTTAGCGTTGGCGTCTTGCCTAGAAACAGACAATTGTGGGTTCCTGACTATCGAAATTTCTGCAGATATAAAAAAGCACTCTTGGCTTTTACCAACTAATGCAGTCCGTGGCACCAGCGTGACTACCAGTTGAGAGTCGGGCCTACTGTGCTGCGGTTTCTCCTGTCGCTTTCGCTGATCGTTGTTCTCAGACTAGTGAAGAGTGAATATATATGCACCATTGTGACTGGTTTTCAGCCATTTCACCAGAAGTTCTCAACCGCTGATACATTTCGTCTCGAGGACCCCAGCGAGGCAGTCTACATCACCCCACACAACTCAGACCAACAGTAAGAGACTTCATCGGCCGGTGCCACGTCTTAGTCTGGCCACCCTGAACCCTCTTCCAACCTAGTCCAACTTCCACTAGCATAGCACGTCAAGGCAGGCAATGGCTCAGCGTGCGCAAGTCATCTAAGTCGACTGAGGTTCACAACTACATCAATCGACTTGCCTGTCTTGACTAGTACCCTTCGCCTGACAGACCTTAACATTACTTACAAGGTGATTCTACCAAACGCGAGAAATGTTACGAAGACATGTGTGATCAAAACCCTATAATTATGCCTTTTACTTTTAACGGCTATATCTCACAGCCATACAACACGACAAAACGGACTGCAGCGTAGTACACCCATTCTTTGATAGTAAGTTGGATATCTTGCAGGCGCCAAACGCGGCACAAATTGGAAAATTCCAAACGGCCTTCTGTATCCGAGCTGGGATTTCGTCAGCAAGCAGATTCTTAGGGCTAATGCAAATCCCCAAGTAAGTGAAGTGGTTAACACACCACTACTTTACTCACTACCATTAAACTGTGAGTAATTGCAGCAGACCAGTGCTGGAGCATCATCTTACATCTGACAGGGTTAAAATGGATACCAAACATGCTTAGATTTCTGGTCAAAGTGTTCAGAAAATCCTGCATTTTTTCAGCGTCTTTGCCTAGCGGGACAATATCATTTGCATACTCCAAGTCAACCAGATGACCTTCAGGGAGTAGTACGTTTAATACGATAGTGTCGTGTTTGAAATCCCTTCTGAAAATCAAGAACAGTAGCCAGACATTATGCGATACGTCGTCAACAAACTGCTGTTAACACCCCACGAAATGTTTTTCGGCACCTGTATACGATTAGCAATAACAATCAGCGCATCGATATACCACCCAGGTTATAGAATTCACTCAGATCAGCGCATGAATAAGTCTACCACATTGATAGACGTAAGTGATTGGAAAAACCAGTGTTGTTGGTAGGAATTTTTCTGTCCATTGAAAGAGAGAATACGAAAATACCCTAGAGCTTTACTAAACAGTTTGCATGCATTGTACTGGGGTGATAGCGAGTTGAACAACTACTAGAATATTCATGCAGAAATTTGATGTTTAAGTTGCATCAGGAACCAAATAGCAGAATGATCAAAACCCTATCATCTTATGGACAAAATAACTATTTCATCCAAGTACTCCTGCTAGTTTGCTAGACGATGAAACAATGAACGAGGCCAGTTTCCAAAGAAGCGAGATTATCCGAAGTACACTTGTGTCAAGTGAACCGAAAAGAGATAACAACAGTGATCACCGATGAGACTGAGGTCGTTTGGAATATACAAGCAACCGCTTCCCTTTCCTGAAACTATCTAAAACAATTCTCAGTCAGACCTTAATTTGGAAATATGAAGTCTGTTTAGCTTAACTGCAATAAGGTACCACTTTATTTCGGTAATATATAACATTAACATGCCAATCAAAAATGTTTTCAGTCCCGAGGTAGGCTAAAAGAAAGGGTGATCAATGTATGATGTGATGCAGTGGGATGAAGGATAGTTTTCGGGTTAGGACCTGTTGATGTCCAAAAACTCTAAATGTACTGACATCTCGCAGACGAAAAATGAACTTAGAATCTCTCCGACAAGTGCATCGCTTAAAGTTGCTACATTCCACAGCTGGATGTAAAAGGATATGTATGTTCAAAGACTGATATCAAAGTAGATGCAAGTATATTGGAGAAGGAATTTGAAAACCAAGGTTAGTGAAAGTAGCAAAGTCTTAGAAGACGTCAAAGAGAGAATACAACACCTGCTATATCACCAAAAAGACCTCAACTACTGATTCCTGTTATCTAAGGGACCCCAACCAGGTAGTCTACATTCCCACACGGCTCAGACCAAAAGTCAGAGACTTCATCGACTGGTGTCACGTCTTGGTCTGACCACCATGAACCCTCTTCCCCTAACATTGCATCGAGGTAGGCAGCAGCTCGGTATGCGCAGCACATGTTCAAGCCGCTAAGGTTATTGAAAACCCTCAACCTGGTCCTCTTGATTAATACCCTTCACTTAACCTCAACATTCCTCACACGTCAATTCTACCATATACGACCAATGCTACGAAGGTATTTATGATCAAAGACCGGTAACTGCTCCTCATCTACTCTTAACGATCATATTTAACAGCTGTATAACAGGACATAACGAACTAAAGCCCAGTATACTCGTCCTCTGACAGATAGTCAATCGGATAACTCACCAGCCGGCACCAGAGATTACGCAAATTGGCAAATATCAAACGGCCTTCTTTATCTCAGCTTAGATGTTGTTAGCAGCCAGACTCTTAAGGCTCATGGATCTCTGTAAGTAATTCAAGTGGTTGATGCATTCAACCACCTCACTCCTTATCATTAAACTGTATTTGCAGACCAATCCTGAAGCGTCATCTTACATTTGACAGATGCAAAATCCTTGCCAAACATACTCAGATTTCTGCTCAACGCGTTCACAAGACCCTGCATTTTGTCAGCGTACTCCAAGTCAACCAGATATCCTTCAATTTGCAGACCACTCCTTCTAAAACCAGGGGTATCTAAGGTTATGTCCTCGGTATTTCTTTCACAGTAAAACACTGCCACAACACCTCATGGTCGATAAAGTCAAATGTTATCTTAAGGTCAGAAAATATGGCAAGTACCGGCCGCCTTAAGTTTGCATGTGTTGCAGAATCTGATGTAAGGTGAAGATTCGGTCGACGGACTTTCGTCTAGGTCTGAAACCTGCTTGATCTTCTCGAGTTTGCTATTCTCGAGCTCCAGTTAGGCATTGGATAACTATGAACACAAGGACCTTGGATACGATATTAGTCAAACAGATTCCCCTATGTTTGTCATAGGACCTCTGGTTCCCGATAAAAGGTAGAGATGAATGAAGAAGACCAGTCTGACACGACTACACTCACTCCCCTATACTACCTACTAACCCAGTTAGTCTATTCGACAATTTCCTACCTCCATCCTTCAAAACTTCGACCGGCAAACCGTCATGTCCTGCTGCTTTGCATCGTTTAGGTCCGAACAGCCTTATGAGCTTTAAGGACAGCTGGAAGACCGATGTATAGGTCTCATTCAGGTTTAGGCTGGATGTTGGGCAACTGAAGCGGTGCCAAGGGCCAGTTAAACTGTGCTTTAAAGTGTTTTGCCTAACGTTCTAACCGTGTGTCATGTTATCAGGGTCAGATCCTTCTCAGTTGCTGTTTTACTAACCACAGTTTTGGCAGTATCCCTTATAAGCCTAAACAGTTGCCGGGTACTACCAATGCTGATGCATTCTCTGTCTCAGTTTCACCACCCACCACTGCTCGCGATCGATGCGAAGATTCTTGGTTAGTTAATGTCTGATCTGCTTTCGATCTTCATCGTGATCATAGGTAGTTGGAATCAGTCTTTTTGCATCAATCAATTCGGATGATGTTGAGGAAATCCAACTGCCTTTGACGCTGTTTCTACAGCAGACATATCACCCCAGGTTTCCTCAGGATGAGAACTGCTGTTGCGTTTAGATAAAAGCTAAATTATCCCCTCCCTAAATAGTCAACTGACGCCTTCATGTTTGAATCGAATATTCACAGGCCGCTTGTTTCTTGCAACTAGTACACTGTAGACATACACGAGCCCATACTAATGCGTGATCAAAGTTCAGAAAGAGTGGCAATCGTCAAACGATGATATATCTGCTTCTACCATTGGTTTGGTTTAGGCAGGCGCCATGTGAGACTGTCTCTCTTTATCCTCGAAGTTAATGCTGATCCGAAACAAGTGAGTCAGGACAAATTGCGATAGATGATCACCGTTGCCGGTTCGCTGGCGTGGGGTCCCGTAAATACCTTAATGATACCTACCCAACTGGCTTAGCTTTTCTACTTGGATGTTAAAGTCACCTGCCATTACGACCATATCTGAACGTTTTGCTTTCTGTAGTAAAATCGACAGCTTTTTATGGAATCCATTCTTTCCATCATCCGAACTGCAATCGATGAGCACGAAGACAAAGATTACGAATAGGCATCGGCTAATCTCGCTATTCTTCCTAGTTGTTGCAGATTCATTCAGTCGAACAGCATACAGACGGCTGTGGACTTATAACACTGGCGAGTGCACGAAAGTTAGCCCTTGAATCTCGAGATATTCGTAAGGTGTTTCGATGATTCACCGCAAATCTCAGACGAAATTAAGTGAACTACCACACTTGCGTTTTGTATACCTCAAAAACGGCACATCCATGGATCGAGACTCCTGAGTTCTGGTAATACCTGCTGTCCGATTTGGCATAAGGTTTCGACGTTGAAAAATCCTATGCCAAATCCATAACGGGGTCTTAGGAGACTAGGAATGAGGTTCGGCGGCTTTGATTGTTGGCAGTGAGCGCAGAGTAAGATTAAGGAAGTTGTAAGTGGCTTGACATTGGTATCAGGAGGTTAACGCAAAGGCGTAGACAGATGAGGGTAGGTCATGCTTGACTGAATTTTATATACTTCTGAAAGCGTGCAGAGAGTTGATACCTCCCAACTCTTCACACAGTAGTTGTTTCCGCAGGGCACCCGACAGATGTGTTTATAGAGCTCATGGGATATCTGGTTGGAGCCTGTCACAACCTTTTGGTTTGAGATCTGGTTGTTCGACCGCCGAATAGGAAAAACCAGAACCGCCAGCACAGTAGAGAGGGTGTGCCACTTTGGGGGCCGACCTTTTCTAACCTCGTCCGTTCCTACAAAGAAAGCAGCATCAACACGGCACTGCTGGTCATCGAAGGGAAATACCATACTGCTGTCACATACCATCCAACTAGCAGTACGACTTCGCCCTCGGAGCCTTATCGTAGTACAGCAATCTACCCTACAATGGTCACTGCTTTTCATCTTACCACTACACAACACTTTTCTGGTATGGTAGAACTCCGGGAGAACAAGGGGTTCGGCCAGTGTAGTTTGTTGGGTTACTGAGATACGAACCTGACCACCACATTAAGATAGTAGCCACCGGTCAGGAAATCACAAAATTCAATGGCTCAAGATGACATCAGATACGATGCATAATGGAAACTAGAAGCGCTCTTACTGTAGTTCTGTTTCTAGCCATAAAATCGCACGTTATAACCGCACCATCGCGAGAAAAACACCACATTTCTCGACTAACGGGAAATTAAAAGAATATTCGGCTATCTTAAAGGACTGTAGCGTCATACACTTCCCCAAAATCAATAGCCTAGGGTTTGACGACTTCGACATTGATGCTGACCCTGATAGTTTAACTGGACTCGCTAAGCTGAAGGCATCCGGTCAAGCATCCTCGCCATTTGGCACGCTGTCGTGTTACGTTGCATTGCTCGTATTCGACTCTCTAGCCAGTTAGTTGGAACGCATCGGTATTTTGGCATAACCATCCAAATATACTATTCCATCCGACTACGCTATCGTGTTCTACCTTGGTCTCGTATTCGTGGGTATATAACAAGTTCGAATAATTAGTGATTGGTCTTTGCGTCTGTCAAGTTCGCACCAGGACAAATCCTAAAGGACCATTCAAAATGGTCGAAGCACCGTAAACAAGGGTAACAACTTAACAAGTACACACTGCGACCACAAGAGGTGATAAAAACTGTTATGTTAACTATACCTACTCGCACATATACATCCTTTTACATAAATTAAATGCAGACAAAGACTAACTTACATGAGTAAACAGAATAAGGATACATTTTTAGACTTGAATTACACCAATTGGTAGTCACCATACATGGCACGACGTTATGCTTACCGATGAATGCGGGAGACGCCTGTGAATAGTCAAGAGTTTTCACACTAGCTAAAAGACAAGTATCCTGAGCGATTTTCCGACCATACTGAAGCTTTACATATTCGCGATCTGAGATGCAAGGACTGGTGAATCCATCCAGTTGCCGACGCATGACCGCAGACTAACAATATATGAATTCAATATGAATATAAGTGTTGTGGATAAGGATAAGGGGTGATAATAACTGGGATCAATGCATAGTCCACAGAAAAATGAATATTCCACATCCGCATCCCTCACCAAATGGAGCGGGTTAGCGTTTGCAGTGTTCAATAACCAATCCAATTTCCAAGCCTTTTCTTCAAAAATGTCGGCCTTCTGATACAGTATCTAAAACGGGGTTCCACGATACTGTCACTATCAAGCCATTAATATTATTTCACCGGAACGATTCCTTTGGTGAACGATCGTCTAGTCTGCAGTCTGGCTATGCCTTTCCTAAAATAATCCAAACAGAGCAAGCTGAGTTCCCGCATAGAGCATAAAAAACGTTTTATTCAGCTGTCTAACAAATATTTTGCCTTTCCTTCTCCTATATCCCAGAGAATACTTGATACCCACTGGAGCATAGATAAAGACACTGTACTAAGCTCACTTGAGCATGGTTTAGTAAGGGTTTTGAACAAAATGAAGGATAATATTGGAATAAGGTCACCAACTCCATCCAAAACATATACATGACGTGGTTCGACGTTTTTCCTTTTGAGTTGGCGTCGGCTACACCAGTGACGTTAAATCCTTGGTCCTTTTTCTTGGACAGGTTGATGTTGTTATCTACAGCTTGGCAGGTTTTCACTGCCTCAGGTGTTCAAAGTTTCATTACCCTGCACTTTCCCATTTTGAAGCTCAGGCCGTTTATAACGTCTCGAGGCTCCAGCCCTATGAATGATATCATGATATTGCGCTCGGTAATGCAGTCTAGCATTCTAACTTTTTACAGTGAGGAATTTCAACACATCTACTGGCATTGTTTAGGTCCTCATTCAGAATTTTACCGGCTTGCAGAAATTCTTCCCCGAACGACATTGGACTCTGATGTCTCAGTACCAGGAGGTCGAGAGGTAATCATACCTTGGTACGTTTCAATCCGGTTTCCAACGGTTTTCCTCCTAAGCCATTTCTGGGGATCACGGCATCAGATGCAAGGGGTGAAATTTCTTCCTTCCACTTCGAAGTAGAATTTCGGTTTGTGGAATTTGCTATTTACAACTGCCAGGGCAGCAGCAACAATCATGACGATCACCGGCTCGTTGTGTTCAAGGTGCTTTTTGTAGGTATGTGTACGAACTCTGGTATGCTTAGCGTGTTTGACGAGGGAAGCAACAAAATAATGAGTCTGGCAGCTGAATTAATGTGGCCTCTTTGGATTGTGAACTGACCCTTCTTCTTTTATAAGCTCTTGGCCTCTCCAAAACAGTATCGTTTTAGCTCACGCACTCAATGATATGAGACATCCAAGATGCTTTCGTCTTTAAAATAAATCCCCAGCCTACATAAAGACCAAGGTTTGTCTATTTCATTTCTGGGTTTGCTGGTTTTTCTGTATGTGTGCGTCAGCACTGTAGACACCGAAAGTGAATTTTCCACTCACAGGTTTCCCCCGTTCTTGTGGAACTGGCAACGGCTGTTTTTCAGATGGCCACTGAAACATCTAGTTAGTCCAGTCTCGATTTCGTTTGGGTCAGATTCGGTTTCTTGTCCTCTGGTTATGATCACAGACCACTTCGTTCTTCATGGCTGTTTTCTCGTCCGACAAGTAGAGACTTGTGAGAGGTTTGGTTTCTCTGTTATTTTGCATTACTGACCGGCAGGATGCCTAGTTTGACTTTCGTCACGAACTTTCGTCCAAACTTCTGCGGAGTGAAGCTCACAGGTTGTAAATCTTCCGATTGGTGTTATTCTGCCTACAACCGAGGTGTTGGTTTTAAACGAATCCCCAAGTGCTCTATTCTTCGCCCATATTTTGACAGAAACACTTCATGATATGTTGTTCTCATGTAGCATGTCCTGCTGAAATACGGGCGGGGGGTGGCGCGAATGTGTCTTCAGCGGACTGTTTGAGGCTCAAGAATGCTCCAAGGGGTGTTGATAAACCCAGACTGCATCACAGGCATGTTGTAGCAGATATATTTCTAAAGGGAAAACAATAAATTCCGAGACCAAAACAGTATTCATTCGAAGTAATCCTGTCATGCGCCTACTTTTTCTAACAGCTTTCATAGATTTTCTGACACTGAAAAGGATAATAAGCTCTAATCCCCCGCCCTCGGTTTTTCGACAGGCTTTTTGTTTATCTTGTCGTGCGTTTGGATTGGTAGTTATCATTCTCTCCGCAAACTGGATCCTGATCATGTTGTCGTTCTTCGATGAACACGTTTCGATGTTTTGTGACTGCTTCTTCTCCAGAGAGAATAGCCTTATCAGGGATGGAGTGGTTTGTCAACAATTTTCCTCGTGTCCACACTTACCTCGCCCATACTAGCTGAGGAACATCATGGACTTTGGGTGCCATTAATTCCACTTGGCACCTTAAGATCTTTCTCAGATGGGTAACTTGTGGCCGGGAGGAGCTTTGGCAACTGCCGGGGTTTAGAAATTTCTTTGAGTTGACGTGAGTTGAAAGGGTGGCTGAAACGACTTGGCTTCTTATTCCTAGAGTCATAAAATTGTGGAGCAGTGTGATGGGGTGACTAAAAAGACTACTTGAGGTGCCTGCAAATTAATCATTATAAAGCCGCTTTTCACCGGTGCATATTCCGATGAATATGGACAGGGTGCTGGCATGAGTTCCTGATATGGTTTGAGCGTTCGTACTCGAACCAACTCGTTATTATGTCTACAAATCTGTACTTTTTCTTTACTACTCTTTTGAAGTGAAGTCGGACAAGTCATTGTACCGAATTCGTAATCAGGCCGTGCGAAGCTGTGGGGGTCTGGCAACTCACTTATAGTTGAAATGCCTGCAAACTTATGAATTGGCTATAACTATCAAAGTAGTACAAAATGTATTTCGTCGCAGCAAAGATTTAAGTCGTTAAGGACTGAGACCTCAAGATCTCTTCCGCCTGGCTGCTCCTTTAGCTCTTCTTTCTTGAGTCAGCCTGCATCAACTTTGATAAGGCAGATGAACTGCCTGAAAACTTTCAGAGGTCAGTCTATTGTGATCTATCAAGCATTGAGGCCTGCTTGAACCATCATTTTTATTTCGCTACACAGCTGCACATCATTAGGTAAGATAAGAATTCCAGAGGACACTTGCGAAAGAGAATCGTTTGTATAAATTAGAAACAGGAGAGGCCTCTATGCCTTGAAATGAGGGAGAGATATGTCGTTTCCTTTAGTACCACAGAACTCATCTAAGTATCAAGGGGTCAACCCCATAACGTGCACTTAGAAGAAGCTAAGGGTAAGATCCTACGAGCTTGCGGTACGGTAAATATACCCTGCGAGTGTAAACATTTACACAAGAAACTTTCACGGAGCATTTGCCCCATTGTCTTCATGTTTCTAACGCCATTTGACGCTAAAAAATCTATTAAGCTGCAGAACACCATTAGAGCTAATTGCAATTTCAAAGAAATTACCATTATGCAAGACAGAACACCATGTCAAAGTAGAACGCACTTTAAGGGTGATTCAGCTTTTCTTCCAACAATTTTAGAGGCACCTGAAAGTATAGAAGGGACACATGATGGCAAAAAGTGTGTAGTTATACTCCAGCATCACCTGAGAAACAGGCACTTGTGGACCTTGATGCGACTGCTCCATTAAACTTGACAGTTCCTGAGAATCCCACTCCCAAGACTAACCACTCTGATCAAAGTATAGTGAGCATCCCATCAGAGGATAGACTTAAGACCGGAAAGCCCTCAGGCAAATTCAGGGACTTAAACCCAACACTAACATTAGACACAGCGATTTTAAGCGTATTTTGTCGAACAACGGTCAAGAACATTTCGTTGTCAAAAGAGCTGCAACACAAATAAGCACTACCAGACAACGTAAACCATTGCCTTGGAATAAAAAGCTGTTAACTCATTTCGATGGTCACAGCTGGGATTTTAGTGGAGGGTATCATGCCACCACTTATTGCTAAATTGGTTTTAAAGGTCACCTCAGCAACTGATGATACAGCCAGTAGCAAATTCAGATTCGTCGTTTGGGGACTGAAAGCTGTTATTAGATAAATCGTGTCCAGAGTCACCTCTTAGGATCCTGTATAACATCTCCCCTTTACATGCGATAGGATAAGAAGAAGGGTTTCGGCTCCTGAAGACAATCTTCATAGGTCAGGCTAAACATCGCAGGAGCCATACGAGTGGCCACCCACTGAAATCCGTCCAGAAGGCCTGAGTCACATTTAATACAAGGATTTTTGACCTTTCTACAATCTTCAATTCTGGGTCTGACTGAGGACGGTGAGCACATCACCACTTAATTTTGTAAACGTTCTACGCAACGCTAAAAGTGTTCTGAAACTCCGAGCTGCTGCCAGCTGGCAGTGCCGTGGTTTTCAACTCACCATGACTCCCGGGGGCATCACAGGTCAGTACTGACGGTAGGGGAGTCCAACAAATATCGCAGGTGTTTCCATCTGTGTACCCCATGTGCACGCTCACGCAATCACTCGCATTGATAGGCATCAGTCACTCCTCTGGTCAGACAAACAGGCTATCCTCGTCATCACTAAGCTCCCGCCAGATCTTTGTCATCAGCATACAAAACAACAGGGGACTTCGTGATATTCGGCAGAAGGGAACATATCGCTGTACCTTGCGACACTCAGTTTTCTATCGGCCCCCAAGAGGAGAGAATTGATCGTTGCCATTTGTCACCTACCAACAAGGAACTCGCCGATCTATGCAAGCGGATTGTCAGTGGTTCCAGAGTTTATTCTGCTGGGTGTCAGTGCTTCGACTGGTGAATTAGCATCCACAGAATGTTCCTGTGTACAGACCTCAGCACCACGACCAGTCACAGCTTCCGCGTTTTCTTTATCGCCCTCAATTAAACAGTCAGTTTCTGTCCCTTTGATTAGTGTGGGTATACCACGATACATCTTATTCCTATAGCTCGTGTAAGAAAATAGCCTTTTCGGATGTGGCAATGCAGCCTGGACAAGAAGTGTCTCAAAGCATATTCGGGACAGACGGATGGCAGTGATACCCCTATTGCACGCTTCTCTGTAGTGCTTCACCACCTTAGGAGTACCAAAGTGAGTGCCAAGACTCCAACACTTTTTCTTACGTCGTAGCAA